AAGTACCAAAGGCGTAAGATCGTCGGCACCATAAGAGTTGTATAAGAGACAGTATGCAGCCTATAGTTGATTTGTGCTGGTTGATTTCCAGGCCCAAGCAACGCTCAGGGTTGTGATCACGCTACCGAAGAGACAAACCAGTTCACCCGCCAAAGTCGAGCTGGTCCAGTGAGATGATGGGACGGCAGTCCGTCAGTCACACTCCGGAGAGCTTCCCACACGTTTCTCTTGTGCTACCTACTCGTCAACCGGATGCTGCGGATAGTAGGGACCATTTGAAACGCGAAGGCTTGGGAGGAAGTGAAGAGGGTAAAGGAGGTGGAATGTTTGAAGGAAGGCAGGTGATTAGGACACCGCGCGAATGAATAGCCAGTGCACCACCAATGCTCATAATAGTAGACTTACTTCACCATGCCTCGAATCTGAGTGTTACGTTGGTATCTTCCTGCTAAGGCTTTTGTCAGAGAAAAGTAATCTATTCGACCGATTACAATCAGAATTCGTTTGAGTAGGCAAGTATCATTGAGAATGCTAGATTCGCTATATTATGAGCCTGCAAGAATCATGAATAGACAGACAAATTACGAATAGGCAGAAAGATAATCGCTATGGATGGGCAGAGAGATTTTTGCACCGATTTTTGCAGTATAAATACAGCCCAACGGATGATGGATTTGAAAGACAAGAGGGTCAAATTCCCAGTTTCTATATGTTCATTGGTCTGAATAGTTACTAGTTAATTCAATGTTCTTGCATTTGTTACCGTCTTCAACAGCTTTCTTCCATTATGTACTCAGAGTAGGGCTATGTGTACATTACGTTACATGACTTTTGTGAAGACCTTTTAATGAAGCAGCTAGCACTGTCTTGGTCTTGTCGCGGGCGAATGTGGGGCAAATGCGGGATATACATAGTACACGGTAAGTTTAAGGTTTGTATAAATTTAATACAACCTTATTTATAAGGCCTATTTTTTTTATCCACTGTATTGACATGAATTATGCAACCTTATGAAGTCGGTTGTGAATCAAGGGGTTGGACAGACCTGTTTACTTTTATCATTTTCATTTGCTTACACAATCCCATGGGATTGATTTCAAAGCATAACTATAATAGAAGGATTTATAAGCAATCGGCATCAATTATCCGTCGAATTCAAGTTGATCAGAGGTGCTCTATAGAAGGCACTATATCACTATGTAGACTTGGGCTTACAATATCAAAAGGTCTATATTGATAACTCCATAGTCTGTTTCCTGGCTTTTAACAACCTGTTTTCTTTTGTGACTCCGGAAAATACCAGTTGAATCAACTTGCTAAATAGGGACAACAAGCCTCATAACACACACAACTCGAAGCAAGGTGGAGCTTGGACATAATGAAGATTCTTGTTGTTGGAGCCACAGGCCATACTGGGGGATCAGTTGTACATGGCCTCTTGGAGACAGACGACCTGGTAAGGGCAATAGTTCAAATCTGATTATAAACCTTTACTAAACACATGCTGCAGGAGGTTTTCGCTCTCATACAACCAGAGTCTATGAATAAACCTGGAGTCCGCACTTTGCAAGCACAAGGTGTCACAATCATCGGCCAACCCCGTTTCCGCATGGACTCACCCCCTTAGATTGTGACGTTTCATGGCCAATGTTTCTGGAAAGCTACCTGATCGTTTGTCTCCTCCTTTGAACGATAGCCTGGCAGCACGCTATTCGTCGAGTAGTTGTTGAAAGTCAGCGTCCCGCATAAGTATTTCCACGTTCCACGCTGCATAATCTACCAACATGTCTTGCATATTCTGCATGTATTCACTTTCCTCAAATACAAACTTCAGCAGTCTGACAATATCTCCAGTTCGTTCGTCAAAGAGGGTAAAGCTGGCCAGCGAGTGAATAAGCCGATAGAGCGACAGAGCACAAAGCGAAACCCAGTCTGTTCTGTAGGCGAAATGATAAACTTCAGCGTGGCTTAGAAAGACGCCCGCATAATTATCTGCTGGATCGGTGTTCGGGACTTCTCCATCTTCATCCAAGGGCGCCTTGTCAAGCTTCTCCTTGATGAAAGCATATATATCGGGTAGTTTCGTGGGATGGAAAATATTTTTTCGGTGGTTCAAAGGATCCCATCGTCTGACAGATCCCCGAGACAGCGCCTTGCTGTCCCTGGGTTGGTCGCCATCGTCCCCACACGGATTGGCAGTCGGCAACGGAACGGAGTAATCACCAGAATATACGAACTCACAGCAACGACCAAAGACGACCTCATCGACTTGCTCATTTATGGGAGGCTGAAATATCTCCTTTGGGAAAGAACCAGCTAATGCTGCTATGTATTGAGAACCGTCTTCGGTTTTGACCAATGACGAACTCGACGATCCCGGATTGCATGATCCTGGTGATGTGTTAACTGTAAGGGCCCCCTGTCCCGCTGAACGATGTTAGGACCTTACACATGATAATCAAGCATCATTTTTGCAAGCAATGATGGACCTGGAAAAGCACTGGGAGTTGAGGATGGTATCCTCGATCGGAGAAAGATATGTCTGCTGTTCAAAGAGTTTGCTATGGTGAAAAAAGTCGAGTGAGGAGACTGATAAGCATAGCGTTATCTCTTTACATATGTGCTTTTTTTACGTCCGTTTCAACAAATAATTCCCTTATACTTTTCTTAAACCTCAAGAGTGCATGGTCCTAGGTAACTATGGTTGCGGCTCCTGCGATCCCGCAGCGGTAGCCCACGACTACGGCATTGAGACCCTAGCGGTCGAAGTAGTCATAATTTTGCCCTCAGCGCTGAGGAATCTATGATAGGGCCAGAGCCTCCTTCGGCCGCAGCGGATTATGATTGGTTACCCAGAAGACTGTTATAATTGGTAGCTGTTTAGATGTCCTGACATCAGACTCATGGCCCAGTGCTGAGCTGAATGAGCTCCCAGCTCTTTCCCTCTCCCTCAGCACCTGTGCTCTGAGGGCAAGGCTATGAGTATGGAGCACCGGCTCCTTGGACTTCGCAGACATCAGTACTGGCGAGGGGCACACTAAGTGTATAAGATTCGAATGCCATGTACTCTTAGGCCAGGTAGGATGAGTATCTTCTTTTAAGTCCAATCTGCGCTTATGGCTTTGACTACCGCTTACTTCTCCGTTTGGCTAGAACTCTATCCACCAGGTTCCAAAACCTGAATATTTGCTTCCGGTCCATTTTATAATTCTTTTGATCCTGCCAGATCATAATACAGCATTGAACAAAGACAAACGCTCCGCCCCAATAGTCCCATCACACCAACCTTTCCAGACGGCACAGGTTCACTAGGAGTCGATCTTGAGGATACTCTCGATGAGCCTCAGACTACTGCATCCGTTGGTCAGCGGTCTTATGGAGAGTACTCAACTGGAGTGTTGTACCTTAAGGCGACTGGGGTCTAATCGGATGTCCAATCGATCAGTTGGATTGTTGATACCACCGACTCGACTGTGCGATGATCCCTCCGCATCAGCTCCACGACATGTTTTGCATCCTGAAGGCATTTAAAATCCTCATCTTTGAACATTCGCAATGGACCATTGTAGACAAGACTGTCTCCCTTTTCCAAGAGGATCTGGTGAGCGGTGTGCACATTGAAGCATTTCAACATATCGTATACGGCGGGCACGTTCTTTGACCAAGCCCAATCGACCGGATTCGCACTCTCCCGGCATTCCAGAGTCATCTCCTCTGCCCACATACCCAGTTTTCCGTGAGGACAGATCAATATGGAATTTTTCACTACCACAGACGATGGCGTTCTCTCGACGGTGGTCAAATAGGTTAGAGCAGCCCTCAGTACCACCTGAGGTTTTCCTGATGCTGCACACATTTTAACCCAGTCCATGAGGGGCAAAAAGTGTCCTAGACTGAGGCAGTTGGTGCACCCCTCGGGACTGCTTAAATGTCGTCTCTTTATCTTCATTGGCGCCATCTCTTCCCAGTTGAGTGTAGGGACGGATCCTGGTGAGCAGCGGTTCTAAATCAAGCTCGGTGGTGACGTGAGGGCGGACGAAAGACATCGTTATCAAACTGGTGACCTAAGGCTTATATATCCGGTGACAGTCCACCAGCCCTGACCCCTTCATTCTCACCCCTGCCGATCCATTCTAGGCCCACTGCGCAAGACAGGATTGACAGGAATAAATTGTGTTGAATGCCTCGTTCCCCCGTCCTACGGCGCGGTTATACTACTTTCTGGAGTGTACCGACACGGGATCCAGGGAAACCAAACATTACCATTTCCCCTTGCTAACCACTAGTTCGGATGGTATTGATCTGAAATTCGTTTCACATAACTTGATAATGCCCCTTACGCATTCCTAAAGCTGCTTTCCGATTGAAAGTCTACAAGGGGGAAATGGCCGTATGAGGGGAGTGAGTTGCTCATATTTTTCCATTGTGCTATGGCATTCCCTTCTCAGTGACCGATTTGTGGCTCTTGAAGTGGGCATTGCGGGGTTAAGGTCACAGTAGCCGCTTGCAGTTTCTAATGATTCTTCGGAAACATGGAAAGGATACCGGGCGATAAGTGATGCCGGCATGGCAGGTACCTAGAATATACCTAGAATGACCAACAGCCTGCAGCAGATAGCACCTGAGGCAGAAATTAGGTCAGTGCGACAATGTACTTCGTGGTATATGCTCAATTCCGGAGAATTAGCACGTAGTTAATGTTTGGATAGGATGACGATCAAATCCTGCTAGGTACTGTAATGTACGCATACTAGAGAATATATGTACAATATAAGCACTAGATAAACTTTTCGCCAGCGCCACCATTTATCAATGTGCGATTGCCCACTGACAATCGCCAATAATCGACTCAACGAAATCGCAGAAGGGCTTTCTGGGAAATAATCTATTTCTCTCGGCTCTTTAGGCTCTGGCACTCCTTCACAAAGACAGCATCCACCACTTGGCTTTCCTGTATGCGCGAGCTGATGTTCGATTTGGAGCGTGCTCCAATTTCTCTCCCATTCATCGTGGTCCTTTTTAAGTCGTTCATAGCAGTCAATATCGAAGGCGCATCCCTCGTATCGAAACCAGTCTTGGATGGCTTTGGTGGAAGACTTAATTGTGACTTTGCTGTCAGGCGGGGCTGCTATCCAGCCATCCATTTTCAAACACCCGCTACTGAGCAAGTTGGTTAAATCGGGGATAATACGCTCAAGGCAGCTGATATCGTAGTACTGGACACGTTCTGGGATAAAAATGAGTCAGTATCGCAGGTACTTCTCCCGTCAAATTAAATATCGATACCTCTGCCATATAGATTAGTGCCGCCTTTCAAAGCAAATCGATAGTAGGAACGAATAATCGGCTCGCGAGTACGTCTCCTCGGCATGCAGTCCCAAGCACGGCAGTGACTGGCTTTGAATTTGGGGACTTCTTGGAGGTAGAGTACACGCTCTCCAGACCGCAACTCATCTAGAATGCATGCTGCCTCTTCTTCATCCTCGGATTTTGTTTTCCGCTTCCTACTGTCGTTGTTTTCGAGAGCGATGTTTTCACTGAGTCCATGAACATCTTTTGGCTCCATCTGAGGGGACATGATGCTTGTAATACTGGGGAAAGCTATGGTCTCAGGATGTCTAGGTCCAGAGTGGTTATGACGACCTTACGTATTCAGCCTCGGCTTTTTGCCTAGAAAATGGAAGGCGGGAACGCAGGCTGGGGACCATGCTAGTCCCCTCAGCGAATCCCTTCCTTGTCCAAGGATTCGACTGGGATGCGGTAGCCCACTCACTTCCTCTGATAAGGCATCTCATTGACTGCGAAGAAGTTTGGTAGGAACCACTGTGGCACTAAGTTTCGCTCTGCTTCCTTCCGTCCAATAGTCTGTCCTACTGGCAAGCCTGCGGCGCTAGCATCTCAGGCGCTGAGGACACAAGGTATCTCCAGCCGCTACACGTCGTCTCTGTAAGAAGACTTCAATATTATACTCAGGAAAGACTCCGATCGCGCCCTTTACGTTCCTCGATCAGACCCATGGGCGGGTAATTTTGAATACTCCCAACCCTTACAATAAGTCAATTCAAGAAGCCTCCTAACCCTGCAATTGCGGATTCGAGCATGAAATTGGACTCTAAATCCTGAGGAATAATGTAGTGATCTTGAGATAGAGTATGAAGCACACCAGATGTACTTGACATGTATGGACCAGCAATAATATACAGATAGACGTCACCAGATGGACAGCCAAAAGCAAGCGTGGGTCGATATTTGCCATCTCAAAGTCAACGGATGAAGCGGGAGTCTCGGTGCCTGAGCCATCGTCTGATTTTCGAGAAGCATCTGAGTTGTCAATGGATGAAGAATCACTGCAAGTTACCTGAGGCATTTTTGTGAGATGCTGCAGTTTGATTTGGACATCATATGAGTGCACGGTAACAGCATGAGCCAAGAATTTAGTAACCTCGATGAACTTAGGAACATCCTGGCAGGCTGCCCATGTGCAGCTAATCCCGTCGTGTGCAAGGGCGAAATGAGAATCGATGAGATGGCGACGAAGAGAATCTTTTCGCTTAGGAGGGAATTTGCGTGGAGGAGGATTAGATGCCAAACGACGGGATAAACCGCAACAGATAATGCAAACATCCGTTGGACAATCCAGGTTTTCCTCTTCCGGAGTTAATGGCTCTTCTGACTTTTCATGTTCATCATCATCAACGTCATCATCTATATCCCAGTTGATTCGGTTGCCTCGCCGATTCGGTTCGCAGAGCTGCGAGAGTGCAACCATGTCCTTGGTAACCTGGATACGTCGTGCAAGTAGCTTATCCGCTTCAAAGCACTCCGCTTCAGGCCCGTAGAAATTCTCTACAAGTCGCGCTCGCTCAGGGAAGACATACTCGGGGATGGGGAGCTCGCAATACTCATCCTCGGAGGTGTCAGCATCACTATCGTCAACATCGGACTGGCCGAGAAGTTGCTTGATCTGTTTGTCGACTTCAAGCACGGGTGCATTGTGAAAGTATTCCTTTCTGGCTGTCTGTCGGGTGTCGTTTGCTAGGTTTTTCCTTAGCTGAGATAGCTCTTTCTTGACTGCTTCGTGCCTTTGATAGAGGTGAGGGCTTGGAGCGCTTGTCGGCTTGAATCATATGTCATTGGTAAAGATTTGTGAAGTTCGTAGCCATATGGAGTGCGCTCAAGTCGCCGAAGGAGGGGGGTATCTAGTATCTCCGGCTTCCATCGGAGTTCAAGAGACTGGCGGCGTTTAGGAACTCGGAGCCGCCATATTAGCTCTGGTGTTAACTCGGTATTGAGAAAAGCCCCATCGCGGAAGGCTAGTGAGATAATTTGGTTGATTGGGCAATATGCCAGTTAGTAATCACCGTGCATGAAAAATTTGGTTCTGGAAAAAACAAAAGGATCAGAAGATAAGATAAGTAGATGTCTTCAGAATGCAGGTTAAGAATGCTCTTACCCATCAGCACCTTCTGGACGACCTTTGAGATTCTAAAATTCGATGATGGCATAAAGGACATCCTGTTTGCTATCTGGGTCTCTAAGGTAAAAGAGCTTAATGTCATGGTAGCAGACAGAAGCTGGAAGATCGTCCACCGAAATGTGTTTGGGAAGGTCGCTCTGGAAAGTCTGGCCCCGTTTGTGTTTTCCCAGGGATGCGTCACCTAAAGAGGCCTTCTGCGGAAGTAGCACGCCTGGTTGAGTCCCAGTGATGGCGGACCAGAGCTGGATTGTGGCAAATTGGATGATCATGCTTCCATGACGGAAAAACCTTGAATGTACCCAATGATGGCAGTAGGTGACACAGAAGACATCCACATCCAGTGTGTTCTTTTTCTTCATACGCTGGGGGACCTTGCGCTCCGCAGGGAATACATGTTCAAGAAACTATTGACTGCATTAGCTTCGTGCCTTATAGGGACCAAGAAAGCTAGAATACCCGTCGCATCTGTTCATGAACTTCACCATTCACGCAACACCGGGCGAATAGGCCACCCGTTGTCTCAAAGAATTAACAGTCTAATATGTTACACATATGGAGTTATCTGGAATTACCAGAGGATATGCTATATTACGCATTCCACTGACGGAACCACTCCTGACAAACTGATGGACCGACTGATTGACCTTTCGACTGTCCATCTGGGCATGGGCCTCCCTAGACAATTGAGGAAGTAGGCGATACCGAGCTGGCAAGCCGCTCCCTAGCGAATCCCGAACTCACATCGGTATTGCGGATTTTGACAACAGTGTCTATGGAGCCCAAACGGTCGTACACTTCTCACCGTGGTCGCTTTCAGGGACGCATAGCAGTTCACTTCCCGTGACTAGGGACACAAAGGAAAGGCATAGCACCATCAGAAGGACTGCTGCCTTTTGAAGCCGAAAGCATTTATATTTGTCGAGTAGCTGTCATATACCGTGGGCTGGGAAGCCTGGTTTTGTCAGTATATTCAATTGTAGACTGAAAAGACTATATGGTACGGACCTTGGGGAACTCGTTCGTCAAGAAAACCCTGCTGGCATTTAATAACATGGCAGATCTTTGAGCAGCTACTCTTGGATTACCTAACAAGCGATGTCTTCCCACAGCCGCTGTCTCCTATAATAATGATTTTCCGACGGATGGGCATCGAGACACAAATTCTCAGAATGAAGAGCTATTTACCATGTTCTGGATTAGGGGGTGGATTCTACCTTGTTTATGTAGGAACCTGTCTACGAAGGTTACGTGTAAGGGAAAAGGAAAAGGAAAAAGAAAAAGAAAAAGAAAAACAGAGTTCTTTGTAGTGGCCAGACAAGCAGGCAAGCATCCTTGAACTCTGAATCTAGCGCTGCCTGCGGTCCAGTAATGCCGGGAGCTCAACCCCGGATAGAATGGTTCTACCACCTTCATACCCCCGCGAGAAGCCTATATATAATTGCAAATGCTGCAATAATCCGAAGGGAATACCATTTTACCTCGGACTAGTATCAAGAAGCTATTAGCGAGGTGCTTCCTAGACTAGCCATGACGACTGATGCAAAGAATTGCATTTACTCGGTCCAGCCGCGACCGCTGCACATGTATCACCGGTACAAACATCAAAGAGCCACGCTGCATCTAGCGGATCTATATAAGACGTTCACGAACAATAATTACACAGAAGCTGAAAAAGCCATCAAAGCCCAGGCAGTTATTGAGCATATCAAAAAGATCAATTCGCGAATAAGGGAGCTAAACGCAGAATTCGACCTGCCACTTGAGCTAGGGGTTATCGACTATGGAGCTTTTATCTTCGGATGGGAGCAGAAGAAAGACCGGGCGCTCCTACGACGGGAGCTTGAAGGGTTTTGTAAAAGGAAGCAATATATGGAAGGTTGGAGCCGCCTTCCACCTACACACGATTACGGATATTTTCTCCCCGCTGAGAACCATCACATGAAACAATGAGATGTTGTACTCCCTTGGCTTCGCTTGATCTAGAGTTTACTTAGGCAGCATTCCCAATCAGATGTGATCGATGAACTGGAAGCGATGCTGATTAGATACGCTATTAATGAGAAATTCTCATCAGACTCCAATCAGCTTGACGGCCAGTTTGATGTCCTGGATGGCCTGATCTCACTGCACGAAATAAACAAGCTTCTCAATAAGGGTGAAAATACATCATATCCTGCGGAAGTTGAATCTGCATATGAGCATGAAAGGCAGCAAATGCTGCGTATGTGTGAATTCTATGGGTTCCCACTGGACTGGATTCCGGCTGCCATAACAGAGCAGAAACAGAAATGAAGGGAGGAATGAGGAGTATACCTGAATTCAGAAGAGGAAAGGGGACAAGGAGGGTTAGGTTAACATATGCCATGTCCTTCCTTACTGCATTTCCAATCCTACTTGCCACGCCTAACACAAAAGTTTAAAAGAGCATTATCCCTTGTTGTCCCTAGAATCCATATCTTCATATCCTTATCCATTCTTTGGTAATCACAGTTAAATATGGAGCATCAGCAGTTCTTTGACGAAGCGTACCTCCACACCAACAGCAAGTTTAGCGACCCAGAGTATCAAGAGGAAGGCAACCAGATCTCTTCTGTTGGTCTCATTCCCTGTGTGAAAACTTATTTGTCTAATGAGTTATAGCTTATGGTTTCTCTAACAGGCATCTTGACAACTCTCGTGACAATGGATCCGGCCTCTATCACTGAGGTCATTAACCGCGTCCAAGGACTCCTTCTCCCGGATGTCCAAATCTACTATAGTTTCGGGAGCGACGAATTTTGTGCCAACCAGCAATGCAAGTCTGGAACCCTCGCCAGAATAATAAAAAGCTAGTGTCTTATTATACTAAATTACGGATACTTTAGATGCAAGCATAATTAAAAGCATGAGCTGGCCTCAGACGCCTTTCGCGTTGGGAAAGCGCTTATGCCAGCCAGCACCCACTTTGAATGGAGAAGGCTCTCTATTGGAGAACAGTTGCCACAGACATATTATTTGCGAGAGAATAGTTATGCATAACCACCATTCCTGGGATGTTATTGGTAGGAATGGGCTAAAGCATGTACACAGTCTTATGAAGTAGACCAAACAGGTCACAGTCCCAAAGATTTCTTTTGCCTCACTGCGGTACTTCTCAATCTTCTTTGCCAAGCCTGCCAGAGGCTGTTTAATTTCCTTTAGTCGTCCACTGCGTTCAATCAACTCATCCAATGGAATGCTTTCAATATGCCTGACAAACGCTGGTTTGTCTGATATCTGCATGGCTGCAATAATAGTCCAACCGTCAAGCCATTCGTCTCGGCGGAGTCGCTGGAAGATACCACAAGGTAACTCTACACTCCCGTTCACTGTAACTGTATCATCATCGCCTAGCGTAGTCTTGCTGAAGAGCTTTGTACTGACCCGTTCAATCAGATGGTCAATTGCAGCATCCAGTTCGCCATCTGCTAACGCGTCCTGATGTGATCAGGTCAGCGAGTAGTCTGATTATTGTGCGCTTGTTACTTACCCACTCCAGGGCAAATAATATCTCCAGCTCGCGAAGCTGCTTGTCTGATACAAGCTTCTCCCTTTCTAGATCCTCATAGAAACTATGAAGATGTTGACCAAGGTCACTCCGGGTTCGATATGAATGATGTAAGCAGGTGCAGGTCGCTGCTTAGGGGATATCTACCTCGGCGGGTTATGCCTAGGTAGGCTGCAGGATGCGAGCTAGGCTACGCTGAATGGTAGGGGGTAATCAGTAGAACTAGCAAACGTATGTATTCGAATGATCAGAACGAACCGCTTGGTTCTTCTCAAGCTATCTAACTAGCAACACTTATATTGTTGTGTGCGCTCGGAGCCGGAGAAATGTGGGTTCCGCCCTGCCAAGGCTCCGCTGTCAGCGGAAAGTGAATCCGACGGCTGACCGCCATGTGACACTTAGCTTCCACACTTTTCTTGCTGGTCTCTTTGCTAAGTACTGTGATGCCTAAGGTGATTCTCTTTTCTCTTCTGGCAGAAATTCCGGGGGTTAACCATTGAAACCGACAGAATTTCTTGGATTCTGGCATTAGAACTGATTCTCCGTCCTTATCTGAAGAGGGTTTTCAACTGTCAAAGATCATCCCTAACGAATCTTGGGCCCAAACTATCTAGATCTCCTTACAAATTAGCTGATACCTCTTCAGTCATTTCCCCAGCTGCAGCAGGAAGTCTTTGACGACACAGCGCCCATACTAGCAGGCTCGACCCCTAAGCTAGTCGTGAAAAAGTCATCACTGTCTGAGATGAGAAGTAAGCCCCTGCCTCCGGAGCCCCCTATTGCATTAGCTCCCTTGGTACTTCTTGATAGAGTGCCCTGTCCTCTCCGGGCTTGTGTGCACCCCTCTAGTGACCAGTGTGATACGCCACGCCCCGCTAGCTCAGCCACACAACGTTGTTGTTCTGAGCCTACTATATCCTAGGCAGCTGAGGAATTGGCAAATGCTCTTGCAGAAATTACTAAGCAAAGCCAGAATGACAACTAATTATTGTCTGCACAGATTCTCGAACGGCCCTTACAGATAAGCCGGGGAAATATGGACATGATTGCTACTCGACCAGCTCCAAGTCCGCCCACAGCTATTGCTTCTATCAATTCACCTGAAAAATTAAGTCAAAAGCACGCCCACAAAAATTCAGAGTGCGATGCGCCAAAAATTATGAAGAAATCCATTAAGAACTAAAGGCCCTTCTTGTTTGTGGTTCCTAGGTTATGTTATAGGTACACCAAACCTCCCTGCTGATTGTTCAGCAGCTCTAGCTTGAGGTCTGAAGTAAGATCTTAGTCCTTTCGCCCTTAGAGCCCACCACGCCCAGAAGCTATACATGATGAAGCAGAAAAGACAACACCAAGGTGACTGACTCTCCCTACTTACCAATCCCATCCTAAAGATAGAGACTATTATCCTTTCACAGCAAAAAAGATTTGTAATCTAAACACCCTTGTATTCAGATGAAGCAAGTGCGCAGCTATGGAGACCTCATCTCCGCCTCCACCTCTTTAGAGAAGGAAGAAACAAGTCGTAGAAAGACCAATACCTAGAAGCCGAATGAACAATGTGGAGGAGAGTCCTCCGGCAGTTGCTCTAGCTCTGTAGCATTAGGGAAGTTGCAGCCTTTGAACCATTGGGTGTCAGTCTCATCCCGAATCATGGTATTGAGGATAATGGCAATCCTTCTCCATGGGACTACGGTTTCGATATGCTTGATGCTTGGAAGGTTGCGTGCGAGGCACCAGAGGAACGCCAGCGAGAGATGCACTATGGGGTAAATATCTTGTTTCCAATGTGGTCAAGAACGACAGTCAAGGTCTGGAAGGTCAGATAGGCCCCATAGAAAATAAGGCTGAAGGAGCCTTGACTGTCTCTGAAAGCGATCAAATGACCCTCGATCAGATGAAGATCAGAACTAGGCATCCACGTCTTTGCCACCGTCAAATGAATTTCAGGGAAGGATTCCCCTTGCTGACTCGTGTTTGGTGGAGCTCAGCGGACAAGACGGCGTCTGGAAGGCCGTATCCCAACATGGCCGCGAAATTGCACGATGACATGTAGACGCCCTGCATTTTGAAAGCGGTCCCCATTCGGCCAATATGAGTGTCCAAAGGCCCCAGAAAGTCCTTTGCTGATTCGAGGAATTGAGGCGCTGAGTCCTGATGGTAGAGGTAGCCATGCGCCGCTACAAAAGCAGTAACTACGGGGTCATAGTGGTGCGCTTTCCGGGGGTTGAGAAGCGGGTTGAAAAAGTACGGTATTGTTTCCCTCGTTCCTGGAAAGGATTGAACACCGACTAAGGACTTTGTATAATAGAAGAATAAGTAGAGGATAGGTGACAGGGAGGAGCCTTGGGGCAATCCTGGGTGTGTAATCTCCATGGCTTCTGAGCAGTAATCATTGATAATAATTGATGCTCTCCGATTTGAGCAGAATGCATCAATCCACCTTACCAGTTCAACCGGTATTTGTCTTTCTAGGAGTCGGCAGATTAGGACCTTCCTTATCACCCTATTGTAGGCGCCTTTCACATCGAAGCTGACCACGCTGAGGACCTTCTTTTCTCTCCATGCTTCGTAGATTTTCTCAACTAAGAGATTTAGTGCTTGCTCGTTTGATCGTTTCTTTCTTGCCCCAAAGTGGTTCGGTGGGAGGAGACTAAAGACTTCGGCATAGTAGGACAGTCTTTGCGCTATCACTGCCTCCAACATCTTGCCCAGGGTAGATAGTAGTGAGATGGGTCGGTATGAGTTTAGTAGTGTTTCATCCCGTCCTGGTTTATGCAATGGGATGATCTTCGCAATCCTCCATCTTGCTGGGACATAGCTGAGCTTGATCGAAGCGTGAAATATCTGACATATATCTTTTCCTAATGCTGGCCATAGTTGCTGCCACATTCCTGCTGGAATCTGATCTTCTCCAGGGGCTTTCCACGGGTTCATCCGCATTACTGCTCTTTTGATCTCTTCGTCTGTGATTGGATCCATTTGCAGGGTTGGTAAGTTAGGATTCCCCAATGGTTCTGAGCTTTCTGGTGTTGGTGGGAAGAAGGCAGAGATAGTTGATCCTAACCACGCATGGGAAAGCTTTCTGACCAATCAGAGAGCAGCGTTGCATGGGATCACGTGATTTATAGAACATGTCAGAAAATGTCGACCTTACTAATCCAAATTGACCAATCAGATTGCCCGTTTACTATGCCCTGAAATGAAAGTCATTCCAAGAGCCCTACAATGGGCAGCCAATACAGGAGCAACATTTGAAGCAGATAAAAAATCATTTATCCACGTTACAAGGAGACAACGCGCAGATCCCTTATCTCCGACCCCTTTATGGGTGGGCCAGACACCAGTGGATACTCAACCAACGATCAAAGTGCTAGGAGTAGTGATGGACCAAGGAATACGTTTCAAACTCCACACAGCGGAAGCAGCTAAGAGAGGAATTAAGGCGGTTCTTGCATTAAAGGGACTCAGAGGGATTTCTCCTAGTTCAGCTCGCCAATTATTCACCGCTATGGTAACATCAGTGTATGTCTTGGGAGGTGGGAGGAGTGATTTCAGCGAACGTAAAAAATGGCCCACCTCATTTTTCAAGAATACCAATTCTTTAGACTGCAGCTGTGCATACCTCTCATTATATTTGATATTGCTGGAATCACAATGTAAATCTGCACAGCCTTACGGTGCTCGATTTTGGCTACGGCGTGGTGGCGAATCTCTATATCAATTGGTATGTTAACCACTTGGCGTATATGAAGGTCAATTGCACTCGCTAATCCGAAGAAAAATAGGCCAAGGCATTTTCCATTTCGGCCTGGAGAAGATGGACGTGCCCCGGCATAGGCAGCTCAAAATGATCACCATTGACAGAAAGGACCAAGACGTCTCCTCCCGTGTACCTTTCCCACCCATTGGGGCACAGGCTCTCCTCGCCCTTGTTCGGGACATGGCACGCAAACGTACTCAATTTGGGATCTTCCATAAACCCCGGATACAGCCTAGTAGGCACGCCCTGGCCCTCCAGCTTCTGCATCCGGGCAGGGTCATCCGACACGCGGTTGACCAACCCGCGCTCCGCCCAGATGACGGCCGTCTTGGCGGGCCTCTTGGGCGCCGATGAGCCGGCCTGTACTCGTTCATGGCGACGAAGAACTGGCGCATGTGGTCGCGGCTGGACCCGAGCGAACTCCACTGTCCGTGCCGGTTGACGATTCCCTCTAAGACGGCCTCGTTGACCTCGGCCTCGGCGAGCGGCTTGCCCTGGTCCATTCCCCGCGAGCGCGGGCAGGGCATGTCAATCAGGAGAAGGCCCTTGACCGTGCGCCCGGCGCGGGCCAGCTGGAGCGACATCTCGAAGGCGACGAAGCAGCCGACAGAGTAGCCTCCGATCATGAAGGGACCAGTGGAGTGCGCCTTGACCAGCGCGTCGACGACTAGCTTGGCCACGCCCTCGATACCGACTTTGCTGTTCATGCGCGAGGGGCACCGGAGGTAGGGCGAGTCGATACCGTAGACGACCTGCTTGGACTTGAAGGGCCGCAGGTGGATAAACGACGCTACGGTACCGGTCCCGTCGGTCATCATGTACAGCGGAGTGTTGCCGGCCTTGGGGCGGCCCTGCAGCAGTGTGATCCTGACGCTGGGAGGTGGCGACTTGTTGCTGTCCACAAGCTCCGGTGCTAGAGTCCACGGCTCCTCGTTCTCGACGTGGACCAGGCTTGACGCCGGGGAGACGGGGGCGAAGCGGTCGTCTGGAGTCGGAGACAACAGGGCATCTTCATCGCCGCTGGAAGGCGTCGCGCTGGTATCGTTGGTGTCCGCGTCTTCCTGCCCACCACCGCCAAACGCGCGACGGAGGTCGCCGATTGTGAGATACTCAAAGACAAAGGCGGCGGGCAGGTCGACGCCCATCTCCCTGACGGCGGCAACGACCTCGATGGCCATGATTGAATCGACGCCAATATCGGCTATCTCCGTGCTGTCTGTGAACTCGGAAGGGTCGCTTTCGGTTGCAGTGGCGAGGCTGTCGAGGATAACCTGGAATCCTCCCGTTTGGAGTCTCCTCTTCCTTGTCGTTGTCCTGCGCTTTACTCGCCCGCTGTTGTTTCATCGGCACCGTGGCCATAGCAGCAGACAGATTGTCATGGATCATCTTGGTTTCCTTGGCAGTAGGCAAGGAAACCGACTTGGAAATCGCATCTTGGGGTCCTGCAGCAGCAGCGTGTGGCCTTGTGCCGAGGATATGGCGCCAGGTGGTCTTTTTAAACTGCTGGTAGCGCAGGTCAACGGCCTGCATAACGATCCTGGACATCTGCGGTTCGAAGATGTAGGCGGCGCAGAAGGCCAGGGTCCCTTCCCACCGCGAGATGCGCGTGTACGTCAGGTACTCCTTGTCGGGCTCGATAGGGGCCAGTTGCTCGATGCTGTCGTAGCCCATGAGGGCATAGGTCAACTGCGGTGGCGTGTTCGGGTTCCCGTTCACCATGAAGCCCGCCAGGGGCAGCAGGGCCTCGCCCCAGTACGGCGACGAGGTGAACCGCGTGCCCGCCGGGTCGGGTCGGATTTTTATCGTCGCCGGCCACGTACGCCTCCTGGACCTTGCGGAAGTCGGGCGAGAACTCGACTGCATTGGCGAAGAGCGCGAAGAAGATGTCGGGCTGCATCCGGTGGCCCGAGCCCTCCTTGGAAAGCCGGACCCGCTCGTCCATCTTGGCCTTGATGAAGAAGGACACGCGGTCCAAGTCGGCCTGGGCCTTGTCGGGGCTGCGATACTTGACTGTCACCGATCCGAGATCGTAGGATTCGCCGCTCTTGGAAGTGGCCTTGAACGTGGCCAAGACGACGTCGGCGGACGCGCTTTCCACGGTGGCCTTGGTCAGCAGGTCGCCGTCGATGCCGACAAGATCCCGAGTTAGCGGGGCGAGCAGCTTGGGGTCGTGGAAGGTCAGGTGGGAGGCTGTCACGCCCGTCTTGCTGCCGCTGTACTCGAGCGCATACTTGGCCACTGTCGCAGCGGCGTCGCAAAAGACAGTCCCCGAAGCAAGCCCGATCTGCTGTATCCTGTGGCCGTCAATCACGCCCATGAAGCCATGATCGGAAATGCCGGCTCGGAAAGTAACTTGAATCTGGCCGTCAGGGCCTTGTGGACGAGGTACTGCGCCGTCGTGGTAAGGAAGGGCTCGGACGAAACTGTCTTGGCAGCAGCAGCAGTAGGAACCAGCGCGCCGCTGTTCTTGTCGGTGTGCGTGATCCAGTAGTCTTAGACGTCCCACGCATAGGTCGGGAGCGCCAACAACTCGAGGCTGCTCTCGTACGGCGCGTGCAGCGCTAGCCAGTCCACGTCGACGCCGCTCGTGTAGGCCGCCACGGGGATCTTGGAAACGGACGCCCAGTTGCTGTTGTTTGCGTCAATGGTGTGGTTGATCCTGGCGGGTGGCGGCGAGAGTGTGGCCGGCACAAACGAGGTGCATACCGTGCCGGGGCCGATCTCGAGCCAGACAGGGTCGTCGTTCTTGAGCGCCGACTTGACGGCGTTGAGGCCCCGGTAGAAGTCGACCGCCTGCCGCTCTGCTGCGCCAGGCAGTCCTCGTCGAAGACGTCCGGCACATCGACCACGAACGCGAGCAGCGTCGACGCCACGGGGATCTTGGGCGGCAGGTAGGTCACGCCGCTGGCGAGGGCCTTGTATTTGGGCAGGATGGCGCCCATCTGGAAGGAGTGGAACGCGAACGGCACAGAGAGCATCTTGGTGCGCGTATTGGCGTCCTGGGTGGTCATGTCTGTTCGGATGCGTGCCAGGTCCTCGGCCGTCCCGCTGATGACGGTGGCGATGGGGCTGTTGATGCATGCCGCCCCACAGGAAAGGTCCCTGAGCCGGGCGAGGTGGTCTCGCACCATTGCCGCCGACGCCGACACCGAGAGCATGGCGCACGAGTTGGGCTCGCATCGCTCCAGGAGCAGGCGGGCGCGCTGGCCGACGAGGTACAGCGTGTCGGTCAGCGAGAGGACACCCGCCGCGTGCAAGGCCGCATACTCGCCCAGACTGTGGCCTATGACCATAGCGGCCTCGATGCCTGCCGAGGATTGCCAGAAGGCCGTGAGGGCAATCTGCAGCGTGACGACGGCGAGCTGAACCTGCGCGGCGTTCTTAGTGGACATGTCGACGCCGTCGGTGGTGATGATGTCCAGAAAGGGCGGGAACTGGTGGGAAGCGCAAATGGCCGCGCACAGGTCGGCCGTCTTGCGGAAGACGGGGCTCGTGCAGTACAGCTCGCCGCCCATGCCCGCGTAGTGGGAGCCCTGGCCGGTGAAGACGAAGACAACGGCAGGGGGTGCTGATTTCTTGGTCGAGCTGGTGGCGCGCTGGATCTCGGCCTCGAGCTTGGAAACGGCCTCTTGTAGCGTCGAAGCCGCGAGCGCGAACTTGATGGGGTGGTGTACTTTCCGGGCTGTCGTCGAGTAGGCTACGTCTTGGATCCGGGCGTTGGGGTTCGCGCGGAGCCACGCGTCGAGTCGACACATGTTGGCGAGGTGTGATAAGGGCGTCCTGGCTGAGGTTGCGATGACGTGACTTGATCGGGCGTCGAGTTCTCTGTGTCTAGCGAGCCTAGCCGGATCTTGCTTATACTCTTCGATGAGGACGCTTGCGTTGCCGCCCTGGAGCGTGTGTACGGGAGGGAGGGAAAGGGGGGACTTGCCGCCGCGTCGAAATTGTTAATGAGAATGCGTTTCGGCTTGCCATCCGCCGCTTTAAACTCGGTTGACTTGGTGGAAATCACAATGCTGCTATCGTCTCCCAGAATCTCCAGCACGTTGGGGTTCATGACGCGTGGCATGCCGGCCTGAGGGGGGATGATGCCCTTTTGAAGCATGAGAACGCTTTTGAGTACCGAGGACATTCCGGCAGCCTGAGATAAAATACCACAGGTCAGCGTCTACCAGATTTCCCATCGACTCCCACTGGCAGAGGCTTCCCATCCGGTCTCGGCAAAAAGACCTTTGAAACCGCCCCCATTTCTGCCTTGTCTCGGACCTGGATCCCAGTCCCCGTCCCGTGCATCTCAATATACGAGACATCATCGGGGTCCAGTCGCGCGTTCCGGAGGACTTTTTTGAAGAGTCGTTCCTGGGCATTGGCGTCGGACGTCGTGATGGACGTCGCGTTGCCAGAGTGGTTTCTGGCCGACGAGGTAATGACGGCCAGGATCTTGTCGTTGTGGGCGACGGCGTCCTCGAGTCGCTTCAGGACGAGGGCGCCGCTAAAGTCGGCGCGGCAGTACCCGTCGGCGTCGTCCCGGTACGTCTTGTAGTTGCCTGTTTCAGATAAAACGCCGGCCTTGCTCAGAAATATGAAGGAATGCGGGTCGGACAAGATGGTCGTGGCGCCCGCAACGGCCATGTCGACGTCCCTTGACAATAGACTCATGCAGACGAGGTGGATGGCCGACGTGGAGCCCGCGCAGGCCGAGTCGAGCGCGTATGTCACAGCGTAGAGAGCTTGAACATCTCATGATCCTTTTCCTACATAGTGAATGAGCTAATATAAGCGGATAGTAGGTGCTAGGGGTGTGAGCGTGGGAAGACGAAGGAAACTGCTTAACTTAAACTTCGAGGCCATGACGCTTTTCGTCTTGATTGCCAGGTGAATGAAATAGAGAGCAAACGGAGGCATCAGAGACATTAGAGACATCAAACATCCACATCCGAAGACAACAAAACAACGGAAGGCGAGACTGAGCACTTTGAATATCAGGGGGAAACCCCCTGCACCCCCCCTTTCACCTGCGGTGGGCCTGCGCCTTCGGCTTTTCGCTCCGCTGGCACACAGCGAGCTGTGCGGTGTGTGGCAGCGCGAAGACTTCGACATGCTTGAATCCAGGAACATGCGTTTGTCCAGGACTTGCTTGGGAGCTTTCCGATCCATCTGCTCTACCGTGTACAAATCTTCCCAGGCAGGAACCTCATAATCATCCGGACATTGATTGCTCACACCAGCCTTGAATATCATCATAAGGATCTCGGGCGGCATAACTTTAAGGGGAGACTTGAGGCTCTATGCAGTCTCGTTGTCGCTCGGCAACAAATGGGCCATCCCCAAGAGTAACTTGACCTCAATTGACGTTGCGTGGCGGTTGTGGCGTAGCGGAATACTGGCCAATGTCTCGCTTTAATGGTCTTGCTGGCAATTCTTCTTTGTCTTGGTGGTGGCCTTGGTGGCGGCGGCGGTGGATGCGCAGATGGCGGAGACGGCGGTTGGTAGAGAGACTTGTCGCATTGTAGATTCCACTAGGGGTGATGCAGGGCCGGGTGATGGTAGAGATGATGTTATATGCAGACTGGCAGGAGGAGAATAAGTGTTAGCAGTTGGAACATTTCTAGGGGACACCCCCTGGACCCCCATGCGCCTTCGACTTTTTCCTCCGCTAGTGCACAGCAAGCTGTGCTGTGCGTTGTCGATGGATACCAGTGTTGTGATGTGGGAGCTGCCGTGGTCTTATAGGAAGGCCCGCTTTGAAATGGATTTTAGGTATTTGCCAGCTGCAATGGTCCACCACACTCCCTAACCCGCTATTCCACCGCCACGATGGTTTTTAGTTTTGAAAGAAAATTTTGGGGAAGAAACTACAAAGGAAAATAGGGTCAACTTAGCTTAGATGCTAAGGGGAGGTCGGCGAGGGCAGATATCTTCAAAGAAGCGAGACTCCAAAAGAAAAGCCATATGGATAGCCTTTGTGCTCCTTTCACAGAGCCCAGAACGAAAGGGATGACCTCAGAAGAGGGGCAAGAAGGCCGGGGGGCACATCTTTTAGCTATCCAGTAGAGAAAAAAATGCAGGGATGCCTTCTATACTCTGCATTGACAGAAAAGATAAGCATCCTCGTGGTTAAATTGTTTATGGTAATCCTCAAAGTCACCATGTCCAATATGGGCCGCGAGGATATGACCAAGGAAAAGACAGGAGAGCTAGAGCTCGTCTAGGCGCTTAAAGGAGATAGTGATCCCTAAGTCTTAATATGTCTGTGATGCCACAGTCTGCCAGAGTGATTGTGCAGTGAAGAGGGCATAGGCCTTGACACATTGCTTTAGTGAGGCGTATGAGAGCTCGTGGGAGAGGGGAAAGACAGAGGCAGCACCTTCTTTAGCAATGAGGTCAGCCATCTCGTTTCCAGGGACTTTCACGTGTCCACGGACCCAGTAGATCCAAACTAAGCCACTTTTAGTGTGTGGGAGGGAGCCTTTCTCAGAGTGGCCAGGTAGCAGCAAGTGTAAAGAAGGACTCAAAGGCTGCTTAGAAGAAAGTTATAGAGGTTGCAGAAGGCATATAGCAACTTTCAGATTATTAAGACAGACCTATATATCAGTGGCAAAGCGAGCTGTTGGGAACACTATAGCTGCTTGAGCTCTAGCTAAGGCAGCTTCTACTTCTGCATCAAAGACCTCTTTCCCAGGCCCCAGAGGGAGAGAGGAGCGAAGGAATTGGTGATAAGCTTAGAATCTAACAAAACCGCCGCCTACATGTCTGTTTCCGAGCTTAGACCTGTCTAAGAAGATTGTGATGTCACAGCCAGGGATGGTATAATAGAAATCTAAGAAATCAGCCGCCGCTTGTTCTTTCATGCGTCCCATAGGGGAGGCATGGTTCGCCATGGGGCTGTTCCATTTTGCTAATACATGATAGACTCATCGGTGATCACGAGCCTCGGCTTGCCTGAGGATAGTGTTCAGTTGTTGGGAACCGCTGTCAGAGCAGGGCAAGGATAATTTCGCCGATGTGTCAACATGAATAAACTTGTTACCTATCATTTGTGCAGTAGGCTGTCTATAATTCTTGCATTGGCTTAATAAATGAGATAAAGCAAAATGTGCAAAATCTACCTTACTAATTTCATTGCAAGGTCTGAGCCCATCTCCCCATTGGAATCCAGAAGAATCGCGAACTTCTCATCATCAGCGAGGGTCCGTGCTTCACAAGCGGCATAGTGGATGACCAAACAGGGGGCGAGAAAAGCGGATGGACCCGCGTCCGGTCGGCCCCTGGTGAATAGAGGTCACCAATCTGCGGACTTCATCGGAAGAATTACTGGAGTGAAATCCCTATCCTCATCAAAGGCATCATTCATTGAATTTTGCAGATGGTTTTTGGAATGGTCGTGCGGTGCCTTTTGGATATTGTCCGTAAAGTAATGGTTGTACATCATCAGAGGACCAGCCTCGTCCTCCAGCAGTATTTCCGTCGCTCGAAATAATAACCTGTCAAATGTGTCGCGAGAGGCTAGCTGTCGAAGCACCGTATCTTTGGTATCAGATGGTATATTTTACACTCACTCAGATTACCTTTTTCAGTTAGACTATTCCGACCAGCTCACAGAGTTTTCTGGTCGTGTCGCTCATTATAGGGAAAATTACACAGAAGAACAGACATATGAAAAAACATCGTCCAATTTGACAAGAACATGCTCTGATTCCAAGCGTAATCATATTACCAGATTACCAATAATCCGACACTAGCCAATCAAGACTTCTTCTGTAACTACGTTACATACCATGGAAAATCGTAAGATTTACTAATTTCCAGTGAGGAGCGAAACTTTAAACAGCTGGGATCTGGGAGGTAGAATGTGACCTATATTCCTTCCATATGTCTCAGACGGGCAGGACGGCCAACATAATTACATACGATTGTCTCAGAATCCGCAATTCCTAAAGAGATCCTCTGTTCTTCCGCGCCGCACCATCGAAGACCAAGTGTCATGGAAGATATACTACCAGAATGTCAACGTAAAGAAAGATCGTTGCAATCGTCTTCGGTTTCATCGGCTTCAGAAACCATTTCCTGATCGTACTCGCTACTCCCATCCTCCCAGTCCGTCTCATCGCCGCCCTGTTCAGGAGACATTGGACTATCATATATCTGCGCGGTTCGAGCTGACTCAAGGACTTCCTGCGCTGTTTTCGCGCCCGCAGCAATGAGCATATCTGCGATCAGCCACTGATTGTTCTTCCGAGCCATATCCAGAGGGGTCTTTGTCGTGTCTGATAGAGGAGACAGATTGGCCCCAGCATCTATCAGGAGTCTCACGCAGTCGACCTTGCCATTATGTGCCGCCCAGTGTAGTGGTGCCCAATCGAAGACTGTCTGCATAGATGGGTTGGCTCCCGTGCCCAGCAAGTATCTGACAAGCTCAGTATTACCTCCTGCTGCTGCGGGATACAGACCCGTTGCACCCCAATTATCTCGTGTATTGGGATCAGCGCCAGCATTCCTAAGGGCATTTAGCACTGTTACTCCCGTTAGCGCGATCAGGCGACGATTATGGTGAAGTAGCCACATGTCCCAATTGCGGGCACATGACTTGTACAAACTGCAAAAGGCGAGCGCATATGGGCGACTGTCCAAATGACACTGCCATGCAACAGCTGTTAGCAACTGCACGAGAAAATGGATGGCAACGCTGCTATTCGTGCTGGCGAATGGTGGAATTGGATCATGGTTGCAATCACATGACGTCCGTGACCCTTTCCTTTTCTCTACTTCTCACGGCCCTTGTTTCTAACGGAAAACGGTAATAGCTGTTGCTGTGGTGCCCAATTTTGTTAGGCGCGCAGTGGAAGAATTGTGCTTGCAAACAATGGGATGAGCATCATCTTCTTGCGCGTGCATATCAAATAAGCCCCTCCAGGCCCTTCACTCCACTTTCCTCTCATGTCCGGCATTACTGCCCTAGCCAGTTTATTCCATCAGCATCTCTGCTTCACACAATTTCAGTAACGTGCCAGCTGAGGATCTATTATCTTCGAAGATGCCAGTCCCAGAAGTCAGAGAAATGCATGGTCTCCGGGAGGTCTCGTTTGTCAGACATCACTACGTTGAGTTTAGGGATAAGCCTTTGACGGAAGAGAAAAAAGAGCTGAACCGCGCAATCCGACGCAATGCCGACCTAGCTGACAATTACAATAAGCTTCAAGAGCGACTTTGCTGTCTCCTCGATGATAAGATCTTCGTTGCTGAAAGTCTCCATTATGTGGCATCGCAAGTGACCGGCGTAAAAGCCCAAAACGTGAGACCCAACCTCGAGTGCACAGATACCGGAGACGGGTTATCACTGGAGGAAAAAATAAAGATTGTCGAGACCAGGCTCAGGGACGCTAGTTTGGCATATAAAATTGATATAGAAACGCTCCGGATGCTCAACAGATCTCTCATAGATCGAGCCTTCGACCAGCCGAAGGATTATCCAGAATCACATACACCAGAGCTCTTGTATCGTGCCTACAGGAATGGATGCCATGGCCGTCATGACCAAGACCTGGGCTTCCGTTCTTCTAAACAGCCTTTGACTTCTCCTTCTTATCATTATGGCACTCTTCTTGACAGCTCACTAGTGGACAAAGATGCTTTACGAAATCATTGCGAAGGAAATAAGCCATCGGACCTCATTGCATTATCGGACAGTCCGTCAAAAATCTTAAGGATAATTAGCAAGTGGCCCTTGAGTGAAAGGGAAGGAGTTATGATAGCTGTGATCAGTGTCTCAAAACTTCTAGCGACGGGCATTCTCTTCAATCGCACTACAACATTAGCCAAATCGCTGAACATGAACCCAAATGGCTTGCAGTATGCGAATGATAATTACTGGGTTGCTTACCGCTGGATTCCAGCTGATTGTATCGAATTTGACATTTCCGAATCCTTCCTTCGGAAAGCTTGCGAAATTCATGGCATTGGTGCGTAGCCAAGCCTTCTCAAAGAGCACTTGCTAATGGGAACAGGTGAAAATGAGTTTAATAAAAAATTCTCGTTGGAAGAGCTATTGTCAGTCAAACTTCGAAACCTTTCAATGAGTTGAAATGCACCAGAGTTGATATACGGTCATTTAGTTCGGTGCTTGAGTCATTCCGCAAGATGCTGGTAATACTAAAGAGTTCCAATGATAGTTTGCCACGTCTGCCACGTCTGCCAAGGCATCATTTCCAGCGGTGTTTGAGTCAGGCGAACGTGTTGAGCTGTGGAAAGTGATAGAAACCGCAGTGTAAGATATAGAAGGGCTATTAAGATAGGTCACTAAGTGTTCGATGGAAGTAAAATCCGCTGAAGTGTGTGTAAGAGACTCACGGTCCGAATGAACTAGCCGTAGAAATGCTTCAGTAGATGTGCTAGTCAGGGAGCCGGTGGGACTATGAGCCGCCAGAATAGAAGAACTGATTTGCGCCTCACACCTTTGTCTTCAAACCATGAATTCAACTAGTCAGACCACAAATCGTTACCTGTGTTGATCCAGCGAGCTGTTTTAAGTCTACAATGAGTGAGACCTTCTACATGTCCATGCATATAATGCTACGCATGGAATGACTTATACTAGTGAACGGCAATGACAAATGAGTTGTACTGAGTTTGATCCTCAAGAACCGCAAAATTTTTTACACAGATACGCTGATTTCCACTGGGATTATTGATATTCTCTCATTCAATACGTGATCTCACGAAGCGGAGAGTGCCGAGTGGAGTTCCGCTTGCCAACTAGCACAGACTTTGGGCTCGGCCATCTTCCACAATGATGAAGAAGCTGCTCAATGAAGTCTTCAAAGACAGCAGCATTTGTTGAGCCCGTAAAAACACGACAATGAATTATACCATCCTGTGTATAGGCAGGCAATATCCGGTAGCGTTGGCCCCGATGAAACCTGCCACTTGAAACTGGTGCCGCCTCCAGCGGTGACTAGTCTGCCCTTCCGAATCCTATGCGTTATCACATCCAGACTCATCAACATAAACAAGATTGTATGAGCGAAAGTCGGGTAGCTTATTCAGATAGAACTTTGGTAGATCAGGCTTCTGCTCCTTGGTCTTTTATCGGGATTTCATTTTTGTCCAGCATCCGGCTGAAAGGGTCCTCTCTATGCTGGAAGGTGGTACTGAGATACCATATTCGTTGTATAGGAAAATCCACAATTCTATAAGGTATATACCTGGCTTTTCCGGAAGATGATCATAAAGAGCTTTGAGCATAGCAGGAGTCCTACTTTGGCTAAGTGTAGTGTAGTGTGACTTGCACGCCAACATCATGAGAGTAATGGGAGCTCAAAACACCTTTGGTTTGGTTCAACCGTCGATAAGTGGTCGCAACTTCCCTCTGATATTGTTCTCCCTTTGACCTTCAAACTTGGAGAGTACTGAAGATTTCCCGATAGAAAGTTGCGTCCCTTGAGTTTTAAGTTTGGTAAGGCTTGCACTAGGCCCACGTAGTACTTGCCAGTCTTTTGAAATTATTAACATACAAGAATCAACTGCATGATTCAACATTTTCGAAATGGCCAGCATGATCAGCATGTTTCAACCGTGATGGCGACGCAAGAATCAAATACAAAGTCTGCTCAGGAATGAACACTTATTAGCCAAACGCAAGTTTTAGTTAACGACCGCCCAAGCATCAACGGTATGGTACGACATCGATAGTATATAAAGTCCTAGTAACATTGTTCGACCATCCAAAAAGCGCTTAGAGATGAGCAGCATGATTTAGTTGCAACTCGCAGAGTATCCACACCGACGGTCAGAATAGGCAAATAAATAGGATGGTGTAATAAGTTCCTCTAGATATGGCTGGTAAACCTGCTTGTCATATCAGGTTGCATGATGGCGCTCCCTGACGAAGCTGAGATTAACAAGCTGATATGTATTACTGTATAGGAACGCAAAAGGATTGATAATCTCCCAGCCAGCTCCTCTTGCAAGTTTAGCCTGGACTAGACCAGCCGTCTGGGTGGTGCGGCCATGGGAGGTGGAGTTTCCATGCTGGTCGCGGCGAGAGTTGTCCGTGGCGCACTAGCCTCTTCCCGAGGACCCTGATGCGTGGCCTAGCGGCAGTCGCGGGAACAATGATTCAAACCTGCAGTCAACAGCGTGTTCGCGTCGCCTTTTTTGCTTTTTCTAGTCGTTTGCTGTCGATAAATGGACTGGGAGCGCGTGGGGCTCAGTCGACCAATAGCTGTGCAAAAAATTCACTGAATTTTGGCGCATTATGTTCAGACTTCGATCCACGACCCCGCCCCAGGAAGCTCACGTGGCTTTGCATAGCTTTCAGCCTTCCAGCCATGGCCTTGAGGCTTACATCAACAATTCTCGCCATCCACACAGTCATGATGAACCAACATGGCCACTCTCGACTCCCTCAAGTCGGCCCTTAGGCAGGAAGCCACGGCAACGGCGTCATTCCCGATGCAGCCGTTATCCGACACACAGTACAGCGATGGCTTCCATATCTTGATACAGGGCTCAGGAAGGACAACATACCAAGACATCATCATCCCTCGGCTATCTCAAGTGCTAAGCCCTCTCTTCAACTCGGCGTCTCCATGTCTCTGTGCTAGAAATTGGGCCCGGCCCGAAGAGCGTATTTGGATACCTGCCCGGCCACCTGAGACGGAAGGTTAAGAGATACGCTGCATTTGAGCCTACCGGCCTGTTTGCTAGAAGGGTGGAAGAATGGCTTTACGCTACCTCAGAGATCCAGCCCCTGCTGCCCTGTCTGGAGGACCGGCCCGACATCCATCAAACCTAATTTGTTCTGAATAGCAAAACAGGAAGCGGCACCGGTGCTGGTATGAGTGGTAGCGACGAAAAATTCGACGTCATCCTATTCTGCCACACCATGTACGGCATGAAGCCCAAATCCACATTCATCGAACAGGTGCTGGAAATGCTTGTTGAGCGGCCCGAAGGCGGAATGGTGGTGGTTTTCCATCGTGAAAGGACCCTGCACCTCAATGTATTAGTGTGCCATTGGACAGCTTCTTTCCCTGCCAGAGCCGTAGCGTGCCTAATGACGATAAGGTACTGGACTGCTTTGCTCCCTTCGTCACGGGGTTTGTCACGCAGGATGTGGAGGCGGATAAGGCTATTCAAGTTGAGTGGCGTAAGGTGTGCCGCGCCTTGGGCGGTTGTGAGAAAGATCGTCCAGATCATCTCTTGTTCAGCTCGCCTAACATCATGACTGTCTTCACTCAACATGCAACCACGTTGCCGGAGCGCACGGCAGGAACGGTGGCAGTGGGGCCTCCTCGTTCAAGCGATGTTTATTTTTAAAACACATCGGAGCAGAGAACGTCGCCGACATCTTGGTGGCAGCCGTTGAGACTCATCCCTCGCCACTCTGTTATCTTCATCTACTGCAAGGTGGAGGAGCGGTCAGCGACGTCGCGGCCGATGCCACTGCTTTCGGCTGTCGAGACTGGGACTTTGCCTGCGTGGTGACTAGTGTCTGGCCCCGCGACCAAGATAAAACTAAAGTCGCTCGAGGTGCCGTGCGGTGAGTATACAACGTCGCCAGAGACTTGTTGCCCTTGAGCAGCGGAGTTTATGGCGCAGACCTCGGGCCGGACCCGAGAGACACCGCGCTAGCGGCCAAGGCTTTTGGACCGAACCGGCCGCGCCTAGCCGGTCTTAAGCAAAGCTATGACCCGCGCAATGTGCTGGCTTACGCCTGCCCGCTACCGAAACCGCCAATGGAACAGAAGCTCATCATTCTTGTCACGGGCGAAAGCTGCGCTGGTAAGGATTATTACGCCGACATCTGGGTCTCTGTGTTCATCACCTGCACCCATAAAAGCCTCACAGCGCGCGCAGTCAGCATTAGCGATGCAATCAAGTGAGAATACGCGGCGGCTACCAGTGCTGACCTGAACCTCCTGCTTCGGGACCGTGGCTACAAAGAGCAATACCGGCCAGCGTTGACTACATTTTTCTAGGGCCAGGTACGGCATCGACCTTGGCTGCTCGAGGAGCATTTCCTGAACGTGGTGTACGGTGCTGCATATGTGGATGTGCTGCTAATCACTGGGATGAGAGATGAGGCGCCGGTCACAGCCTTGTCGCATTTGGTGCCAGATAGCAGACTGATTGAGGTTCGCGTCAAAGCTAGCGAAGAGACGCGGCGGGTGCGCCGAGGGTGCCAGGGTGTTGATGACGATGGTGACAACAACGAGGATAAGGACAACAATAATGGCAGGTCGAATCTGACGGCCTTGGACTACCGCCCTAGTCTCATCTTTGACAATGACGCGACCGGAAGCCAGGCGGCAAAAAGGTTTGCCGAACACTACCTGCTTGCCTTTTTTCATGAGGACCTTCAAAGACTGGCCAACATGGTGCGCCCGGTACCCAATTTCCCACGCCCAGGCATCGAGTTCCGCCACGTGCTCGACATCTCCTAGTGATCAGGTGGGCTGGCCCTGTGCACAGCTCTGCTGCAAACTTACTTCAGTGGTGACTGGGCCAAAGTTAATGTGGTAGCGTGTTCTGAGGCCGGCGGCTTTGTCTATGCGGCGGCGTTGGCCTTGCGGGTTGATGTCCCCTTGGCGTTTATTCGCGAAGCCGGCAAGCTCCCCCAAGCCATCATTTCTGTCCTCAAGTCTACATCGCATTATAAAACTCTCTTTCTACAGGTGGTAGTGGTACGCAAAGGCCTTCAAACACTGCTTAGTCCCAACCTACCTATAGTGCTTTATAATGATATTGGGATTCTGTTCATTTATGAGTGAAGCTCCTGAAGTGTTCATACTGCGATCAGTGCGCTGGACAGATGCTCATTTATTTCTTCCCTAGAGACAAAGGCCAACACTCTATACACAATGCGTATACAAGTTCCATTCTCAAATCACCAGCTCCTTCTCAATCATCTCGGAAAGGGTATTCGCATCCAACTGGGCATCAATCATGTAATCCGACAATTATTCGAGAGTAATTCCTCCAGTAGACGCCATGTTGATATATTTTCTCCTCTGGTAATCCCAAATAATCGCCCACCTGCAACAGATTAGACTGGTAATCGATGAGATAAGAAGTATCTTACTTACACCCACTCCATGCAAGGACACCGCACTGACCTCTTAAGGTGCTCTGGGATCCAAAGATAACCTTTCAGCTCTTTAATCCCCGGGCAGTCACCAGTGACGTGAAATTCAAGGGCCGACAAAACATCGGAAGGGGTGCCAATCTCTTGAATCCGAGTTCCCTCATAACTAGAAGTGACATCTGTACCAAAACCCCTGAAGGCAATAACCCAGTGTTTGCTGCACTCGGTGGTTGAGATGAGCAAGGCACTAACTGAGGCGACAGATGGGAAAGACATCCTTGGAATTAATAATATCGTTGGTAGAACCGATATTCGTCAATGAACCAATTGAACACTGGCCTTAAGACGTAGCAAAGTAAAGCAAATAGAATGAATATAAACCAAGCCGCATAAGCAATGGGGATCACGTCAAAGAGAGTGTCTAGCATCCTAAGACAGGTAACTGTCAGCTCCTGGAACAGCCATGGATACATAGATTCTCTTAGAAGAACTTACCGTCCCGTCTTCTCATTTCGCTGGTCATTTGAACTAGTGGGAAAGGAGGCGTATACTGCCAAAAAAAAAAGTGGTAGCTCAATTGTACTTTCGCTCGACCGTGACGTCGAAGGGCTAGAGTACCGCGGCAATGGCTGAGGACTTTGATATTCTGTGACAACTGCCTCCCTATTCTGAGAACTCAGAGCGTTTCGGTGCACGGCAGGAGATGGTTCTTGGATACCAATGTGTCGTCTTGCCACCGAGAACGTAGTTGAAAGTGCCGAAAAGCATAACTCGAGCGAATGTTGTACTGATGATGGAGAGCAAGCCATTGGTGTCAATGCATCTGAGTTCCAGGGGGGCCAGGCGAAAAATGCTTCCTTATATGTATGTCGTCCAGTAAACCTCTAGGAGCCTAATTTTTCTTGCAGGCTAGGTCTGGATAGAACGTCAACATAGCTATCCTAGACTAGCTTGATATGCAGGGTACTAATGACATGTTGATCTGTATAACCCCTAATACTCTGTTGAACTGCTAACCTGAACTATGTTTGTGTATGGATAAGCCTAGGCCACCAGGTTCATTATTAATATCACACAGGCAACAAGCATTGCGAATAGATATGCACCCTTTCTATCACCTTCCATCCACGGGCTTAGGAAAGACATCCTCGAATGTTTGCTGAGTGCTCGGCGTCGTTCAAGGAAATGGGAGGCGCCATAGGCTAGTGCAATAAAAAGCAAACTATACCTATCGATATGCAAGCCAATGATCTACCTGATCGGCACGGATGCGGATGTCAAGAGCAGGGATTCCACTCTCACGTAGCTCTTGTTCGGACTCAATCATCCGGGACCTAGGATAAACTCTGAACAAGCCATGCTCAGGCCCAACACCATTTCGAATGGGTCTCCATATGGAGATGCCATCACGACAGGGGTGGGATCTTCGCAGTGTTGCTGGGGTTCCCGGAGGTGACACCATTTCAGAAACAATAATGGGCCCCTGGCATTGCAGATCGGACGTGTCTTTGAACAGAGGCAAGAGAATAACAGGCAACTTCACTTATTAGTTTAAAATGCAGAGGCAGGGACTAATTCCAAAGGAATCACCTACATTAATGCCGTAGTTGATAAAGTCTTTCCACAGTTCTCTCACTTCTTTTGGACGCTCTGCGGAGTCAAAGTATCTGATTGGTGCTTGTGCAGGCTTCCCAACTGAGTCTTCAACCTTTTGAATAAGGCTCTCATGAGGCCCTTGGATACTGCTATAGACATAGTAACCATAGACTTGCATATCTGCTCCTGGTTCTTCTTTAAGCAGATCTGAAAATGGTGGGGGATCCATGGCCGCGGTGGGGTAACTTGAGCTTCGGCTTGGTAATACTGGCTAAAGAGAAGATCTTTGAAAATATACCAAGTCACAAGTTCGCTTGTTCATGACTGACTGGGGGAGCGTCTGAGATGCACCAGTGGGCGGATTCTGGGCGTCAGAGGTGGCTGGTGTGCTAATCTGAGCTTGGAGCGATTGCACAAGATTCGTGAGGTGTGGTATCTGAGCATTAGAAGCAGATTGCGCTTCGACCTGAGCTTTAACAGTATCTGTAAGGTTCGCGACCAGCGCAGTCAGCTGCGCGACGGCGTTAGCATCGTCTGCTGGTGTTTCTGGGGTATTCATGGCGTGTGATAACTAGGATTGATGTACTATGAGATTCTTGAAGCGATGTAGTGTCACGGCACGAGGTTCGATGAATAATTGGGTTGCATTTTGACAAAGACATCGCTTGAAGAACTAGAAAACAAAGCAACGCGAGGGTCAGATCTACATTATCTACAGGCGGTGAGGGGCGACAGAAAGCTATCACGTGACTGCTCCGACTCCGAATCCTGACATTCCCCTGTGTCCTGGTGTTTTACGCACCGAGCCTTCTCACCCAGGAAGGCCATACTCTATTGAATCTTCAGAACAGGCTCTCAATCCAGGCGCCCTGCCTAGGATAAGGGACAGCTCCCCCTCCGCGCGCTGCCTGACACCCGCCCGGCAA